GAGAAAGTGACATATGCAGGGCTTTGGGGGTCGACAAGCCTGGGCCTGTGGGGCCGCTGCAGGGGTCAGCCTGGCTGAGGCCGGCCTGGGAGGGACCCCACCCTCATGAGGGCAGCAGGAAGCACGAGGAGGAGGGACAGTCCACTCTGTGCTGTTGGAGAGCTCCCTGGGCTGCTACGGGGGTGGGCTAGAAACAGCAGGAGCCCCAGGAGGCGCTGAAGCTCTTGTGGAAGGAGGAGGAGGAAGCAGAGAGCTGCCCTGTTGAACGGACGCTGAGCAAGCAGCTCAAGAAAGGGGAAGGCTCGGAGGGCATTTCCCGGTAGGCAGATTGGGTGGGATTTGGTGACTGATGGCTGCTGCTGGGCATGAGAAGGAACAGCGAGGGTAGTGTCGATGACGACAATGATGATAATACAACGATGACGATGAAAACGATGACAGTGATGAGGACGATGACGACGACGATGATGAAAATGACAATGACGATGATGACAATGATGATAATACAACGATGATGATGAAAACGATGATGACAATGATGAGGACGATGACGACGACGATGATGAAAATGACAATGACGATGACGATGAAAACGGTGATGACAATGATGAGGACGATGACGATGATGAAAATGACAATGATGATGACAACAATGATGATAATACAATGATGACGACGAAAACGATGATGACAATGATGACGATGATGACAACGATGAAAATGACAATGACGATGATGACAATGACGATGATGACAATGATGAAAATGACAATACGACGATGAGGACGATGATGACAACGACGATGATGATGAAAATGACAATATGATGATGCGCCGATGATGACGACAATGATGATGACCACAATGATGACGATGACGAAGAGGGAGCTTACAGCAAGTGTTTGCTGGGCACTCAGGTGGCAGTGCTCACATGCACCATGCCCTTTGTGCCTCACCAGGATCCACCAAAGTAGAGACTGTTTCTATCCTCATCATATGGACGAGAAAACGGAGACCCGGAGAAGCCGTTGGGTGGCCCGAGTCACCGGCTGGCGTGTGGAACAGCCAATGACAGTCAGACGTGAAGAGCCATGCTCTTGACCACAGCTGGTGTTGCTCCTGGGGTTTGGGTGTGGGCTGGCCACCGGGCCCTCACCTCAAATAAACACAAGGGGGAAAATGTTTGATTGGGGGTGTGTGTGGGGGATGAGAAACTGGGTTGAGCACCAGTTGAGTTGGACGGGGCTGCTGTGGATTATTCTGTGACATCTGCTAGCGGGCATCTGCTAGTCAACAGGGCACCTCCGGAGGTGTAGTCTCGGCAGGCGTCAGCCGACAAGTCGTAGTTGGTAGACATAGGGGTGAACGAGACATTCCAGAGAGCATGAGTGTGCGGACAGGAGAGGCCAGGGAGGGACCAGGGTTCACCACAGAGCCAAACGTGTCCTTTGGATAAGGCCCTGTGGGGCATCACTGGAAGCCTGGTGAGGGTGGGGCCCTCATTCGGGTAAGAAAGAAATGCAGTGGTTGGGGGAGAGGCAAAATCTATTGTGAGGACCTTGGCTGTACAAAGAGAGGGGGGGAAGAGCCATTGGAAGAGGTCAGGGCTCCAGAGAGCTATGTTTTCTTTCTTTCAATTGTTAAAACGAGAGATTTAAAAAAATGTTTATTTAAAATTTTTTTTAACGTTTATTTTTGAGACCGAGAGAGACAGAGCACGAGTGGGGGAGGGGCAGAGAGAGAGGGAGACACAGAATCCGAAGCAGCTCCAGGCTCCGAGCTGTCAGCACAGAGCCCGATGCAGGTCTTGAACTCATGGACCATGAGATCATGACCTGAGCCGAAGTCAGCTGCCCAGCCGACTGAGCCACCTAGGTGCCCCCCAAAATATTTATTTTTGAGAGAGCGTAAGCAGGGGAGAGGCAGAGAGAGGGACCAAAGGCCTGAAGCAGGCTCCACACTGTCAGCGCAGAGCCTGAGGCGGGGCTCGAACTCATGAACCGCGAGATCATGGCCTGCGCCGAAGCCGGACGCTCGACCTCCTGAGTCCCCCAGGAGCCCCAGGATGGGAGAGGTCCGCCAGAGTTCTGGGCTAGCGAGATGGGGCACCTTCCTCAAGGCAGCCAGAGGGCCGGGTGAGGGCGTCAGCCTTCAAGATGAACAGGAACTACTTCTGAGTCCAGAGGAAAATGCAGGCCTGAATCCACCTTGAACAGGACCCAGGGGCTTAAGAAACACAGGACTTGGCCAAGGGCTCCAGGCACCGTGCTCTGAGCCCGTGGCCGCGTCTGCACGGAGGCTGCACTTCCCAGGGCTGCTCACAGCCACACTGAGGGTGGCAGGGACACGGCTCTCAGGGAACCCATTCCTGATGACTGACCTGGGTCCCAGACCCCCACCTCCCCGGGGCCCCGCCCCAGCCTTCCCCAGGCTATAGCAGCCTTGGATTCTTTCACTCAACCTTCCCCCCTTCTCCCCTTCACTTGGGGGGTCACACCAGCACGGTGTCTGGCGCCTCCCTTCCCGTCTCCTCTCCGCTAGCGTGGCCTCTCTGCACAAACCCCAGCACCTTTAGGCCCATCAGCATCCGCTGTGGGCGCGCACGGAGACGATCAGAAAGGCTGGGCTCAGGGAACTGACGCTTCAACAAGACCACGTGGGGCTGAGCGTGGCGACACAGTGTGGCCAGAGGAGACCCGGTGGGGACAGGTGTGAAGGCAGACAAGCCCGGGGGGGGGGGCGCCATGGGGGTGAAGCCCCAGGGGTTCCCACCCCGTTCTCTGAGGGCAGGAGGTGAGGTCGGCTACCGTGGCCACCGTAAGCCGTGTGGTGGCATCCTGCGAAGTGCATGTTCAGAAGGGCGACCACGGGGGAAGGCAAAGCCCACAGAGGTCACTGTGAAAGGCGAGCCGGAAGGATGGAGAAGCCGCAGGTGTGGGGAGATGTTTTAGGACCCTGTTGACCTTGAGAAAGTCTCTGGATTGTATACTAGCTGCCAAGGCAGGTTCTGGGCTGGGCACACAGTGCTGGTGGCTGCTTCCTCTCCACCCACTGTGAAGCAGGGACGTGGAGCCCTCCCCCGACGGGGGGGTCGGGGAGGGCAGAGGGGGCATGCTGTTACCTACTGGAAGGGCAGATAAAACAGGCAAGGAGATTAAAAGACTAATTATAATGGAAACCAACATGACAATAAACTATTTGTAAAAAAAATAAAATGAAAAAAATAAATAAAAGACTAATTATAAAACCTGACTTAAAAAAAATCCTTGCATGTTTAAGAAAGAAAGAAGCTGAAATTCATTCTACTTTGAGCACGGCTGTGAGACTTCTCTGACAACAGAGTGTTTTTAAGCAATCACTGTATTTAATTAAAAATTTTTTAATGGTTTATTTATTTGAGAGAGAGAGAGAGAGAGAGAGAGAGAGAGAATGAGCAGGGAAGGGGCAGAGAGTAAGGGAGACACAGAATCCAAAGCAGGCTCCAGGCTCCGAGTTGTCAGCACAGAGCCCGACGCGGGGCTCAAACTTGTGAACTGCAAGACCTGAGCCGAAGTCGGACACTTAACCGATTGAGCTACCCAGGCGCCCCAGGTATCAACTTATTATTAAGGAAAATACAAAAATGGGGCATCTAACTTCAGCTCAGGTCATGATTTCATGGTTTGTGAGTTTGAGCCCCACATCAGGCTCTCTGCTATCAGCGCAGAGCCCGCTTCAGGTCCTCTCTACCTCTCTCTCTGTCCCTCCCCCCGCAAATAAACATTAAAAAAATAATAAATTGGTTCACAGCCTCTCATCCCTGTGAAATAACCACTGCATTTTCTTTGGAGCTTACTCATACCTGCACCTCCTGTTTGGCTGTGGCCATGGTTACTGATACTACTACCCGTCTGCCTGCTTGCCCTGGGTTCTCAGCTCTGTAAAAGTCATAAAGTGTGTGTAAGCACGCGCGTGTGTGCGCGACTGACCATAGCACCCGTGCAACACGGCGTCCATGTGACAAAGCCAGGCTTACAAATGTTTGCCTTTTTAAACAAAAACATATGGCATATATTTTTATTAAATCATAGAAAACTCATTTGTATACAAATTGGTTCCATTTTGGGGAAACTAGAATCATAAACAGCTGGGTAACAAAACTGTGGAAAGATACATTTCACTTCACGCAGAGACCGAGTGTTGTCACGTTTATTTTTTTAAAATGTTGGATCAATCCGTTAATAGGTTGTTGGCTTTTCTCGCCCTTGTGCGGGAGGAAGAATCTCTCTCTTGGAACCTCCGCTCCTCTTTGAGGATGTTTTTCATTACTGAAATCAACCGTGAGTTTAAAAAGACGGTTAACCCGAAGTCTGAATACAAGGTCAATTTCTTTCCCCGCCACAGGCTTGCCGAGTACCACAAATGTCAAATTTCGAGAGGTGGTCTCTTTTCGTAGGGACTGATTAAGCTTCCTTTCTACATTGGCACGTGTCCAAGGGTGTGGAATACATGTCAGAATAAGTTAAATATTAAGACGTACAGTGTGGTGGTGAACGCCCTATTTTTCTCCTACTGGGTGAATCGGAAAGTTCGCCCTAACCTTACAATATTTATAAAAGGGTGAGGACCGAGGGACCCAGTGATACTGCAAATGCACCACAACCATCAGAATCACGTTCTCTAAGCGCTTCGGCCGAGTATTTACAACGGGTCTTGCCAGAGTCATGCCTGCATTGCTTCCACGGGGGGCTGGATGGGCCAGACACGGAATGAAAACGGGCAGCAGATGTGAAGTTCAGGCCGATGCTCTTTGTGCCCTGGAGCAGAGACCCAGGGGCCACACCGTGACCGATGACTCGCGTTAACAAACACAAGTTAAATATTATCAAAATTACTTTAAATTAAATTGAAGACCACTATGTTTAAGTGCATGAAATCTCTCCCTCCCCTCTCCGCCCCCGAGCTTCCGGAACGCACGCAACACGGCAAGAACAGACACCCTTGGGAATGACATCCACGTTCCTCTGTGTTGAATGCGATCTGCTTCCTCTAAGAACTGGAGGTCCATGAGACCCCTGGAGGGGACAAAAATAAAAATAAAAGCAATCTTCCACTCCAAACAGAGGCATAGTCTCAAAAAGTCATTTCCCCCCAAACCTTAGTGAGTCTGCAATCCAGACTCACTGAAAGCAGGAACTAAAAGATGTGATCTTGGCCCTGGCTCCTTACCCGTGGTGGCGGTCTGCTTCCCCGGGACGCGCAACTGACCCTTAGCCCTCGTGCAAAGCCCGACCTCAAGCTGCCTCAAGGTCCCGGGCTCCTGTTGTCTATCTGCGGACCCAGAGCTCTCCCAGGGAACGTGTAAACAAACGTGGGGAAAACTGTATTTCTGCAGGTTTTTGGCAGGTCAGGGAAAAGCCTCTTGGGCTACGAGAAACAGTAGGGCCTTTGGGCTGCCCCAAGGCTGACTTCCTCCAAGGCTGGACTTTGAGCTCGCCCTGCCGTCGAAGACTCTGAAGTCAATTCCAGGACTTCTTTGCCTGGCCTGGCCCCAAGCCATGCTAAGCAAAACTGGAGACGTTTCTTTGGACTACCTTATTCCTGACTTCTGACCCACACGCTTATCCCTGCACACCCGCTCCACCTTCCCGTTACTGCAGAGGACTTGGGGACGGGGCCAGGCTCTTGTGCAGGTTGGGGTTCTGGCTGTGCCTGTTCCGGCTGCGGACAGACGAGAACATGGTGTTGCAGCCCGGAACTTTGCACTTGTGGAGCTGGCGGAGGTGCACAGTTTTGTAGTGAGCCCTGAAGGTCCCTTTGTTACTGTATGTCTTTTGGCAGATGTGACAGGTAATGGGCAGCCCTGAAGGCAGGCTGGCGAGGCTCTGGTCGGCCTTCTCCATCAGGACGCAGATGGGGTACTCGTCTTCCCCGGGGACGAGGCTCGGCCCGTTACAGTCCTCCTCGCTGTCCTCCATGAGCACGGCGCCTTCCTCGCTCGCCCCGTCTGAGTCCCAGGAGGAATGGCTGCTGCTCTCTGACTTCATGCTCGAGGTAGTACTCAAATCCAAGATGGCGCCCTCGCTCGGCGGACCCGAGCTGTAGCCCTCCAGGCCGGCACTGTGGACTTGGGTTATTGGGTAAACCAGACTGCCCATCCGACTCGTTCCCTTGAAGATGACAGATGTCTGGGAGGCTTGCTGGGTGAAAGCCACATCCTGATAAGGTTCCTTGGCCACATCTTTCAGAAGGTAGGCTGCACGGAAATGGTCTTCGGGGCTCATCAATGCTTCTGGGCTCAACACTTTCTGGTGGAGATTTAGGTTTGAACTGTGTCTACAAGAGCGAAAATATGGTTAGCAATGGGTTGGGCTGTTGTGAAAAAACACTCAACATTCCAAGTGGAGACACGAGGTGGATGCCACAAAACACTTATGGCACAGAAGACAATGAGGGGAGATGGGTGAAATGCGCGTCCAATGGACACTGGCCCAGTGCCGTCCACCACTCGTCAGAAGTTAGCACTGAGCCAGAAAGCTGACAGTCTGGAGTCTGGGAATATGTAGTCCTTAACTTCTACCTCGTGATGGACACATACCTTCCTGGACCTCAACTAGAAAGAATGGCTAAGCTACTTCAATTAGGTCAATTCACCCGAGACCCTGCGACCAGGGGAATCCCAGAGAAAACTGGTTCCAATGAGGAATTAAGCAGAGGACTTTATTTCAAAAAATTTTTTAATGTTTATTTAGTTTTGAGAGAGAGAGACAGAGCGCAAGCAGGGGAGAGGCAGAGAGAGAGGGAGACACAGAATCCGAAGCAGCTCCAGGCTCTAGGCTTTCAGCACAGAACCCGACGCGGGGCTTGAACTCACGAATCGTGAGATCCTGACCTGACCCAAAGTCGGAGGCCATCTAGAGCTGTCCTGTCTGGTATGATAGCTTGCTCCTCCATGACCACAGAGGTCCCAAAATGTGGCTGTGACATATGCAGAAATGACAGGATTTTGGATAGACTCAATGAAACAAAGTTCATCGTGAAAAGTCATTTCATCTGTGTCTTTTCATACTTTCTCAACGTGCCTACTAGAAAATTTAAAATTTTCCGTGTGGCTTGCATCATGGTCTATGGCAGTCACACACCTGTCACTGCAGAAGTTCCACAGGTGAGCAAACCTGATTGACAAGAAATTGTGTGTGTGTTACAGAGAGAGAGAGAGAGAGAGAGAGAGATAATGCGAAGTTCAGTTTATATTTGCAACGTTTCACTATAAACCAGACAGGTGTTTTGCAAATGCAGCATTGAACACACCACCAACCTTCTACCCAATGATTACTCCTGAAGGGCGGATAATGAGTATCCATTATGATGACACATGCTTACTCGAACAATATCATTTAGACGTAACTTGTCAATCAAAGAAGTCGGCCCGGCTCCGATATCCCCTGCTAACTTCTAACTAGCAAAACCAGCCCTGACCACACGGGTACAGTCTTCAAGGTGATGGGAAAATGGTCCCAAACAGGGAAAAGAGCCTCCCTCACCGGTACGGATGGGAGTGCATGCCAGGGCCAGCCTGGGAAAAGCTCCCCGACCACAGTAACTACGAACTGAATTTTCTCTTTGAAATCTCTGAAGATGTGGTGGTGATGGTGGTGGTGGGGACACGGGTGGAAATTGAATCCTATTTCAAAAAAATGTATCAGATTTGCTATTCGACTCCTCCTTTCTATCCCTCACACATTCTTTTTCCGGACGTACTCAGAACTGCAGGCTCAGATCACCCGCTCCGTAAGCAAGTCTTATCAACGGCTGGGCTGCCCTGTGATTATGTCAGCAATCTGGGTGGAAGGGGCAGGTACGGGTCGGCGGAAAACCAGACACTAGATTGACACGTAGGCCCCAGGACAGAAGGCGGTTAAAAAAAAAAAGTCAGACAGACACGCTCACTGGAAGCTTGCACGGGAAGGTCCCTTCTGTCACGCTCCGTGGACGTCGGAGCGAAAGTGTGGGATCCTCCAACCTTCTCCTAAAGCCTCCGAGGGCCGCGTGCACCCCCTGGGGAGCCATGTGCCCTCCAACCAGTCACTACCACAAGTGCAAAGCCCTCTGGACCGTGTGCCAGCTTCCTGCTTCCAGGACTGTGGATGCTGCGCCTGCTGGCCGTGTGTGTGTGTCTACCTGACACTTCCATCCCTCCCCACCACCCCCAGGCTGGTTTCTGCCTCCTTAGACTAGCGGTTCTCAAAGTGTGGTCTGGGCCCCCCTAGTGGTACCTGAGCCCCTTTCAGGGGTACCCTGAAGTCAGAACTCATTTCATAAGGGCACTGAGACGTGATCTGTTACGACGTGATTTGTCTTTTTCACTGTCGTTCCTTCACGAGCTTACCATGGTTTCCCAGAGGCTACGTGACATGTGGTCTGGGAACAGGGTGGTGCAGAAGCCGATGTAAGAAGCCAGCTGTTTTCTGCTAAGCCAGACGTTACAGAGATTTGCAAAAACGTAAAAACAAAGCCACTCTTCTCACTGAGTTTTTGTTTTGGAAGTTGGACTTATCTTTCATTAAATGCCATGTATATGTTAACATATGATAGGTTTATTAAACATATAATAGGTTTATTACTTTAAGGGATGAAATTCTGGTACTTTTTCAGTTTTAATTTCTAACACAGTAAACACTGATACTTCTACACCCAACTAGGCAACAGCTCTGGAGGGCCCCCAGGTTTTAAGAATTTGTGAAGCGGTTCTGAGACCAAACTGACTGAGAGCTGCTGCTCTCATCATGCCCCCTCTTCCAGGAAGCCTTCCCTAACTTCTCAGAGTCTAGTTAGGTGCACCCACTATGCGCCCACAGCAGCCTGTATATCTCACCTGAGAGCAGTCCCTGCAGCGAGCTGAAATTGCCAATTTACTGGTCTGTCTCCCTCATAGGCCTTTGTGAGCAGTGATTGGGTCCACAGCACCTCACAGAAGGTTCTTGAATATTTTTTTTGGCTTCAGAAGCACCCAGGGTGCTGTTCCAGCCCCTTCCTGAGGGACCCTAGTGACTCTGCTGGTGGTGGCTCCAAGGAGGGAAGAAAGTTATTCTGACAACAGAGCTCTCGTCCCCAACCCCCAAGAGCCCACAATGCAGGTCCTAAAATGGTGCCATTTGGGGGGCTCCTGAGAGGCTCAGTCGGCTGAGCATCCTACTCTTAATTTCGGCTCAGGTCATGCTCTCAGGGTCTGTGAGATTGAGCCCCACGTGTGTGGACAGCATGGAGCCTGCTTGAGACTCTCTCTCCCTCCCTCTCTGTCTGATCCTACCCCCCCTCGCTCTCTTACTCTCTCTCAAAATAAATACAAATTTTTTTTAATGTTTTATTTATTTCTAGGAGAGAGAGAGAGACAGCGTGAGCAGGGGAGGGTCAGAGAGAGAGGGAGACACAGACTGAAACAGGCTCCAGGCTCTGAGCTGGCAGTCAGCACAGACCCCGACGCGGGGCCCGAACCCACGAACCGCGAGATCATGACCTGAGCGAAAGTCAGACGCTTAACCGACTAAGCCACCCAGGCGCCCCTCTCTCTCAAAATAAATAAATCAACATTAAAAAAATAAAATAAAATGGTGCCATTTTAATCAGATTCTAGGGAAGATGCCTTCCTGGTTCTAGACCAATGGAATTAGTAGTTTAAACTTAGAATTCAAGATGCTTCCCTGTGGGGGGGGGGGGACTTCTAAGGTAGTGGGCGCTGTAGGCCAGGACACGATCATAAATATCAAGGATAATCTGCCTGATAGGACTGTCTCTTCTTCGACAGAACAGCCTTTTCATGCACAAAGCCTCCTCCTGGAGGAGGCAAAGGAGGAGTCCCCTCATCAGGGGACGCTGAGGCTTTGGTTCCACATGCCAGCGACCGAAACGGGAATTTTAACTTCTACCACCCATGCTCTATCCCCCTTGCTCAAGGCGAGCATGTTCCCATGAGCCGGATCAGGAGCGTGTGGGCAGTACCTGTACCCTCCCCCTCTTCAGGAAATCAGGTGTCGCGCTTTGCACGGAGGTAGCAGTGATGCTGAAATGCTTTACAGCAGGCTGTCCGAGCAGACATGGGAATGTTCTGTGAACGGCATTTCATCACAGAGTTAGTCTTCTCCTTAAAGCCTCCTGGTGTCACCTCCTGGTTACGCACAAGCTGCCCTTCACAGGCTGGGGAGGAAGGTGGCGGGAAGGGTGGTTACGGGACTCAAGCTCATGAAGAAGAGCAGACGCCCGGCAGTAATGCCAGTGCCCCATCCCGGACTGATGAGATACGCTCGGTACCTGGGCGCCTTGCAAACGGGTTGACGCTGTGTGCCACTCAGAAAACCCCGCACCCAGTGTCTCTCACTTTTCAGCCAGCATCACAAACCCCGAGACAACCTGCTAAGTGCCTTCGTTCTTTGATATCTTAATAATTAAAAAATCTTCGGGGAGCCTGGGTGGGGGGGCTTAGTCAGCAAAGTGTGTGACTCTTGATTTTGGCTCAGGTCATGATCTCACGGTTAATGACTTCGATTGAGCCCCAAGTCACCTAGGGGGCTCTCTCTTTCCCTCTCTCTCTGCCCCTTGCCTGCTCATGTGCGTTCTCTCTCTCTCAAAATAAATAATAAACTTAAAAAAAATTAGAAACCTTCACCCAAGCAGTTATTCCTTTCTTCAGACACAGCTGGTTAAACAGACATAAAAGAAAATATTTCGTCCAATGGGCGTCATATCATAAAATGAAAAGCAGACAAGTTTGGGGAAGTTACGCTGAGGATTGTAACCCCCGCTCCTCACCACTGCCTCATGTGAGACCGGCTCACGATTCCTTACCCCAAACCATTTGGGCCAGATGGGTTTCTGAATTCAGAGCCGCTCAGACTTTAGCGAGGCAGAATGACTGCACACGCTGTAATATTTTGTTCATGTCCCCGTGATAAACACATTGGTATGTCTGCATGGAGTATAGAGTAAAAAAGTCCACACCTAGGGAGATTTAAAAAAGATCACCAACAGCCTCACATCGTTTCAGATCAGGTTTAGCACCAAGCGCTGAAAATTCAGGAACGCGGATCAACAGAATCTGTTCTGTTCCCTGCAACAGCAGGCGCTGTGATCCCCTGGGGACTCAGAGACGCAAGCTCTCAGGCCTCCCCCACCCCACCTGCAGAAGCAGAAATTCGACGGGCAGGGCTGAGAAGGATGTGTTTTAAGGACCCTCCAGGTGATCCGGAAGCCCTGGGAAGTTTAAGACTCAGCGCCTCGGAAGACCCGCTCACAACAGGCCTCTTACCTGTCCCGGCCCCTGCGCGAGGGGAAGGCGGCTTTGCAGCCTTCCGCTGTGCACACGTGGGCTTCCCTGGCGTGCATGTTCTTGTGGTGCATCTTCACGCCGCAAGCGTTCTTAAAGGTCTTCTTGCAGATGTCGCACTGGAAGTGTTTTTCTTCCTTCTGCCTGCCTGGTGCGTGCTGACCCACGAGGTCCAGTTCTGTAGAATCTTCGAAACACGGAAAAGCCACTCCCCTGCCGGCCAGAGCGCCCAAGAGCCCGCCGGCCAGCAGGCGCTGCTGCAGCCGGAGGTGGTCGGGAAGGGGCGCGCAGGGCTCCGTCCCAGGCGCCAGGTGAAGCTCACGGCCGCCGGCGTCCGGCTCCCTCGGCGCTGCGGTCAGCACCTGCCTCTGCTCGCACTCGGCCCCCCTCTCTGAGTGCTGCACGGCCTGCTCGGGGCTTCTGCCCGTGGCCCCGCTGGCCTCGGTCCCCGAGTCTCGACGGCAGCGCCCCTCTCCTCCGGGGAGAGGCCTCCCTGGGCCTCCCGACCGTGTGCCCTGGTCCCCGGGGGCTCCTTCTGACTCAGGGCTCCAGGCCTCCGGCTCATCTCCGCTGGCCGCCCGCACGGGCCTGTCTTCATCTGAGCTGAGCGCCCGCCTCTTTTCGTCAGCGAGCCCCATGGTCTCCTTCTCGATTTTGATGGGCGTGCTGGACTTGCGGGATTTCTTCTTGGGGAGGGCGTCCAGCGGCCCCTCGTTCAGAGCCAGCTGCTCCGGGATGGAGGATGACAGGAGGGGCAGGGAGGGCAGCACCCCGGGCGTGTGGGCCAGCTCTGCCGGCGTGGCCGGGCTGCGGTAGAAAGGGAGGACCGGCTGGACCGTCTTCAGGTTGGGGAAAAGCACCCCGTTTTGCCCAGTGCTCGGGAAGGCCGGCTGGCCCCCAGGGGCCTCCCCGGCGCCGGCAAAGCCGGGCAGGGGCCTGCAGTCGGCGGGGGTCACGGCGAAGCCGGGGCGTTGGTAGCCGTCGGAGGCGGCCAGGCTCAGGCTGCTGCGCAGGTCTTTGTCTCTGTTGTTTCTGTTCATGGGCATGTGCAGCCTGGGGTTGGGGTTGGCGCTGTGGCGGTTACGGCTCCGGAGGGAGCTGAAGACCATGTTGCAGCCCTCGATGGTGCACTTGTGCTTGATCTTCAGGTGGACGGCGTTGTAGTGGATCTTGAGCGTGCCCTTGTCGTAGAAGGTCTTCTCACACGCCGTGCAGAACACCCGGCCCTTCTTCGTGCCCAGGCTGTTCCTCTCGGACTTCACCTTGGCCGCGGGCGACAGCCGCGCCCTTTCCAGCTTCGTGATGACGCCGTATGCGCCCGAGTCACTCAGGTGGGCGTGGTCCTCCTTTTTCGCCACCGCGTCGGGACAGTTCAGACACGGCTCTTTCTCTGCTTGAAAGGGCGTGGAGCCGGGAGTCACGAAGCCGGGGCCGGGGAAGGGGCCAGGGATGTCCTGCTTCGGGTCCTGACTTTGGTCCTGGCCTCGTTCCAGCACATACTGCTCGGGCAGGGACCCGATCAGCGTGGGCGGCACAGGGTTGAAGAACTGGAACGGAAGCATGAAGGTCATGTTGTTGATGAGGTTCTCAAAGGGGTGCAGGCTGCTGGGGTTCCCCTTGTCCACGGCGGCGGGGAGGCCGGCCCCCCTGTGGCTGCAGCTCTCGATGAAGGCCCTGATGTCCACGTTCGCCGATGGCGGGACGATGACCGACTGCTCGTCTTTCTCTTGGATCGCCATCAGCTCCACGATGGACTTGGTCTCCCCGAAACGCAGAAACTGCTGCAAGGTGGCCACCTCTTCCTCACTGGTCATGATGCTCCAGTGATCCAGCACCTTGCCCGACGCATCCTAAACCGGAATTAAAAAGTGCAATTAATTTTACTGCTCCCCGCCTTCTTCTCTAGAAGGAGTCGTGCGGTGAGGGCCCCCATGAGGGCCGCAGGGCACCCTGGTTCACAACAGCAGCCGAAACGACCTCTGGATGAGCACGGGGCTCTCGGAGTCCGGCCCCACTCATACTGCTCTCCTAGGCCAGAAACTCCGGGCAGAAAATAAGCTGTGCAAATTGTAAGCAGTGGTCCAGAAGAGAGAAATAAAATTAGATTACTTGAGCCTGAGGGAAATTAGGTGATTATTTTCCATCTTATTTCAAACCAATTGGTTGTCCTGCATTAGGCATAATAATTTCCCCCTACTAAAATTAAAATATGTATCATTTGAACAACGGTAACTTCTCTATCTAAAAAGTATAGCCGGAGCAATCAGGCCTCACACAGCTCACATATTTTTTTCTGCTGCGAGTTTAATAATCTTCCCAAGCAACTCACATCAGAGAGCAAATGAACCTGTATTGATCTACTGGTCGTGTTTGCAAAGCAGAGCTTTAATTACACTGGAGTGTTGGAGATCTTTCCAACTCTAGCAAGGCCTAACTTTTCCCAAAACTACAATAAATATTTTATCACAGAACATGTATTTGATGGCCTACTGAGATTTTTCACAATGCATGGAAGAGTTTTGAAGATGATGAGGGATGTAACATCATAAATTTTTGATGCACGAGAGGTTCAAGGTAATTGATTCCATATTTTTAATCCTAACACTAGAAAGCAAGATTATTAGGATCATTAAATATTGATCTATGTCATAATGTAAGATCATAATGCTACTCTACATAAAAGATTGCTTTGAGCCTTCTGGGGGGTCCTGTACCCCCAGACAGGAAACGTGTCTCCAGAGGAACATTGGGGGCTTCAGGGTTCGAAAGAAATGGGTTCAAATCCTGGGTTGGCCATGTACCACCTGAGTGACAGTGGCCATGATTCAGAGGCACTCGGGGCTTCCGACTTTTCAACTAGAAAGTGGGGATGATTTACCTGCCTTGTGAGATTTCACTGGAAGAAAGTTCAAGTTGATAAATGGTCATGAGTGTTTGTGTTAATGAGATGGCCTGCCTGGAGGAGACTGAAGTGTATGTTGGTCTTGGAAGTATATTCATCTATTCATCGCCCAATAAGTATATTCAATATTCACTGAAATTTTGACATTTTCTTTTTAAAAAATTTTTAAAAAATGTTTGTTTATTTTTGAGAGACAGAGAGAGACAAAGAATGAGCAAGGGAGGGGCAGAGAGAGAGGGAGACACAGAATCCGAGGCAGCTCCAGGCTCTGAGCTGTCAGCACAGAGCCCGACGAGGGGCTCAGACTCACAAACTGTGAGACATGACCTGAGCCGAAGTCAGACGCCAACCACTGAGCCACCCAGGCGGCCCTGAAATGTTGTCACTTTCTAGCGCGGTGTCAAAGAAAGATAAGGGCTGCAGCTGTTTCATGGCAGAGAAATGCGATCATTCGTACCAGGAAAGATGTCCTTTGCTCGTGGATATGAAACGTGAGGTCTACCTCCATGACCTGGCGGAGAAGGAGGTAAGACTACTCTGCAAAATAACAAAAAGGGGGACGGGGTGGAGGACATGGCAGAGAGATGGAACGCCGGGTGAGGCCACAGGGAGCCGAGGAGCGAGAGGATGAGCAGGAGCCGGAAGCAGACACACCACGGATGACAGCACCCGAAGGAGGGCCTGCAGTGGGCAGCACGGACCCGCAGCGGTCTGCCTTTCTCGCCCCCACACCCTCAGAGAAATCGGCACAGGCAGCGCCTCGTGTCCCTAGGTGCCTGTGGACGTGGAGCAAATGCTTTATCGTGGAGCTGGCTTGGCAAAATGCGAGTCAGAGAACATGTAATTGCCCCCACATCCGGAAGTTTCACAGAGATCTAGGGGAAAGCACCGTGTTTCCCCCAGAACATGAGGTGGGGGCTTAAGCCATTAGAAAAAATATTTAAAAATTTTTTCTTAAGTTTATTTATTTTGAGAAAGATAGAGACGAGGTGAGCGGAGAGGGGGAGAGGGGCAGAGACAGAGGGAGAGGAGAGAATCCCAAGCAGGCTCCGCACTGTCGGTGCAGAGCCCAATGCGTGGCTTGAACTCACAAAACCGTGAGATCGTGACCTGAGCTGAAACCAAGAGTCGGATGTGTAACCAATGGAGCCACCCAGGCGCCCCAGGAAAAGTATTTAGGGAAGGATGCCCATCAATGGCTGGAGCACTGTGGGCAACCGGCTTCCACCAGTCACTGGGCCACGGATTTGGGAAGCGGCTGCGGGAGAACAGGGCCACGCTCACCATACCTGCAGCACGTAGCCCCGGATGTAATCCTGAAGGGTCCAGTCCAAGGCGTGGAGGATCTGGACAACCTCATCTTGCTTCAACACGCTGAAGAGCCGGTCCAGTAGGATCTTGAGGCGAACAGGGATGGCCTGCGTCCCGTAGAGCATGAGGCTGCTGATATCAAACACCACATTGGACTGGACGATCTCCACCTGGCTTGTGGGGTACACGGGGGGGATCCTCAGCTTGCTGAGGGCTGAAAAATCAAATCGAAGAAGAGGAAAAAAAATCCCCCAGTGATATGTAAATGATTAACAATCTTTTTTTAAAAAGTTAATTTATTTTGAGAGAGAGAGAGTGTGGGTTCAGGGGAGGGGCAGAGAGAGAGAAAGGGGGAGAGAGAGAATCCCAAGCAAGCTCCGAGCTGTTAGCATGGAGCCCGATGTGGGGCCCAAACTCACGAACTGTGAGATAACGACCTGAGCCCAAATTAAGAGTCAGACGCTTAACCGACTGAGCCACACAGGCGACCCTTGATTAACAATCTTAATAGTTATCAGGCTCTAAATTATTCACAGGAACTTCTAAAATAAAATGGACTGGCTTGAGACTCTCCCTTCTTCCCTTTGGCATCTCTAAGGAGTACGAAATAGCCCCAAGGAGGGCAGGTGCAAGGAAAAGGGGTAAAGCCATCTGTATGTGGCAGGTGCATAATCAAAAGATGGAAAAATCAGGAAGAACAAGATCTACTGGTGAAGAGCCCAGGCTTGGGGATCTGACAGATCTGGGTTCGTGCTCTCATCCGTCACTTCTGTCATCAGGCTCTGCTGATTTCAGCCACCAGAATCTGTGCCGTCCAATGTGACAGTCTTCAGCTACACATGGCTGCTTAAACTTATTACATTTTTAATTTTATTGAATTATTTTTACCTTATTAAGCTATTTCGCTCTTTGAATTTGATCAAATTGGAAATCCGGGTTTTCAGCCACACCAGTCACATTTCAAGCACTCAGCAACCGCATAGGGCTAGGGTGGGATTCTGGGTCCGGCAAACCGAAATATGGGATGCCCACTTAAATCCGAACGTAAATCTCCCACAAACAGCGAGTGAGCGGGACAGGCTCATACGAAAAATATTCACCGGGACATATTGAAGCTTAGTTGTTGTATCTCTGAAATTCAAATTTAACGGAGCATTCTGGGTTTTATCTGGCAATCCTGGAGGCCGCCGCATTAGACGGCACAGGACACTGCCATCACTGCAGAATGACAGACCACGCCCGTCACACAGAGTTGTTACGTTCAGAGAGATCGTGTATAAAGCTCTCAGCCTGTTAGCCAGCGGGGGGAGGAACACACAAGGGCTCGTCGTCTGGGAATGGATTCAATGTCATCCCCGGACAGATGACAGACGGCGGGGAGAGGAGACATAGTTACCGTGGGCCACCCATCCGTGTCTGCACTGCTCACACTGGCGGTGGTTGATCTTCCCCGGCTTGAAACTCTGGCAGCTACAGTTGAGAGTGCAGCCGATAGCCTGCGGGAGCGAACACAGGCCCACGGGCACGTGAGTGACGTGCGGGGCTCTGCTGGGCGACATTCGCTGAGCAGCGTGTGCCCAACATGCCCCAGGCCCAGGCGGGCACACGGTGATGAGAAGCGGGCCCGGGAGGCAGGGACCATGTCACACAGCTGCCCTGAGCGTGGGATCGGGCTGGGAACCCCGACCGCGGTCCGTGGGAGAAAACAGGGTGCTTGTTAGTGAGAGCACGTAAGGGGGGGCAGTCAGACCTCCACCACGTCTACATCCAGCGAAGCAGTCGCCCCTGGAGGTGACGCAGGGGCCACCTTGGATGATCTGGAAGAGTGTGATCTGAAAGGAGAATCACCCAAAAGTGGCTGTGGCATAGGCGGAAAGTCCACTGGATGGCGGGTGTGATATGGCCAATCGCACCGAGGACGACCCGACTGCACCCTCTGCGCTGTGGGGCTGCTGAACCCAAACAGGCTGACAGCCCTGTGCACACGCCCACCTGGCACGTCCAAGTGCTGCGTGCGAGGTGGGGGTGCCTGGTGTGCATGAGGGTGTGTAGTGGGAGTGTGCGGTGGGGTGTGTGGCATGCAGTGAGGGTGTGCGGTAACGTTATGTGGTGGGGTGTGCAGTGAGGGTGACGGTATGTGGTGGGGTGTGCAGTGAGGG